AGCAAAGTAACTTTTTTTGGCCACCCCTGTGTTGGTGGAGAACGGGCTGGTGCTGCGCCAAAGCGAGCCCCCCTCCTTTTCGACACATCCCTACTGTCGCGAAGGTAGCTAACACTGCAAGTTCTCCATCTTACGGGAAGGTTGAGATGGCTGCGGACGTCGACCTACTTTCTGCGGGACGCGCTCCTGTCCCAAACACTCAGCGCCCTCACCCCACTGAAGCGAGAAACTTCACAGTCTGTGAACTGTTCTGCACAGCTAATCGTGTAGTGAAATTATTGGAGATCGTAAACGAGCGAATCTGCTTATCAGATGTATTTTCGTGTGGTTTTGAGGGTATGAGGAACAGGTTCTTACTCACGACATTGTAAAGCATTTAACTTGAAAAAGTGTAAAACCAACTGAATGTACTGTTTCGAAAAAGCGAACTTCCGTTGGATTGAGCTGATGGGCACGTCCGAGTAGCTAACCTGCGTCTCGTAGTCAATCAGATCACACTCCATATCACAGCTGCACTTGCTTGCATTTTCTAAACCATTATCAGCAAGCTGGTGATATGATTAGCGTCGTTAATCAACGCATAGCGTCTATAAGTAGGTCCCTGAACTGCGCCAGTCGTGGTTAGGTGCTTCATCTGAACTTTGGAGCGGTTACGCTTTTGACGGTATCTTTCATTTCGGGACGATTTTAAGCAGTCTTCGTTCAACACAGGAACATCCCACGAGCAACCTATTTCATGTCAAGTTCAAGTGAAGTACGCAGCCACGCCTACCGTGTCTCGCAACCAGAGATGTGAAGTGAACCTCCAAAAAGGGCCGAAAAATGAGTTTCTTCAAGCTAATCCGATTTCGTGTACAGCGGTACAAGCGATCATCATACTTATTTTAAAGGCGGTAAGCACGATTGCTGGAGTCGGGTGGTACCAGGAAAAAGGCTGCAGCGTGTTAGGCCACCGCATAACTGCATGCCCTTCCACCAATGACGCCGGCAACAACCGCCCGACCGCAGCAGTCGTACCTTCAAATGCCACTGGTATTGAACCGATCCAAATTAGTAAAGGATGAACAAACAAACAAACCGTAAACAAAATCGGCACATCTGTGTATGTCATATGGTGTACAAATACCAGCATCAGTGGAAGCCTGCAGTGGAAGTAGCTTGGCCGGCAGGCAAGCACACGTATGAAGCCATACCCGTGCAAGGCAATTCCACTCGCAGTGTGACGAAGTATACTGAAAACTGAAAGGCTATGTAAAGTGGCTTGGCTAGCACTCTGATAGATTCAACAGTGGTCCTTCATGATTGGGAAGCGATGCGAGGGGCATAGGCAGCTACTGCCATTGCTGGAGAGATATCCGTTGCTTGTACGTGACTTTTCTTCTGTAGAAATGTGTCATAGAAACAGCACAAAGGTTGGACGCGCCGCAGTGACACGATAGGTGTGGGCAGGGCAAATCATCGGATTCGAGAAGAGAACCCTTTGTGTGGTACATACTTGACGGGAAGCTGGTAGTATCAGAACAGTAACGAAAAAAGACTTTCAGGTGATCAAAGATGAATTGCCTTTGATTAGCGACCAAGTGTAGCCTCAAAATGAACTCCACATCCACGTGTACGCAGGGTGTAGGGTAAGCTATAGAGCGCTATTTTTTCGAGAATTTTTCGAGAAAATTCCATTGAGTGAGGTTGGTGATAGGTTCGGTCGAGAGAGCTCAGTCTGTTGGATGTGGTACATCACGTTCAAGGCACGGCATCGAGCGCTAATGAGCCTAGCTGGCAGACACCCCCCCCCTGACAGTTCACCTCCCACGTCGCGCTAACGCCGAGAACGTGACGCCTAGTTTTATTCGTGGTCGCCGCACAACCTGTAACGGTTGTTGAGGGGTACTTGTAATCTATGTAGTAATGTGGGTTATCAAACTAGGCGTAAGGTTGCGGTAGCCTGTCAGCGTACGCAATCGCGCGTATTTGCCGCTATGGAAAGTTAAGGCGGCTGGAAGCTCGATACCAATGGCTAACCCATCTGTGGCTGAGTCAATAAGCTTTGCCGATTCGAATGCGGTGTCATGCCCGGTAAGGGGTCGCCACCAGACAAGTATAATACTAAGTTTAATTTCTGGCCAAATCTTTTCCAAAACTCGATACATGGCGCTCACTTTTTTTCACAACTCCGTACATATAATGAGGTGAAAAGCAAATAAAAGAACGCTATTAACAAGGGCAAGTGAGGCGGAATCGGAATTTGACCAGACAAACCTTAAGTTTCGTCAGGATCGAACCGTGGATCTCAGGATTCCAATCCTGCTGACACAATCCCCAGTCGGTTCTTTGCAAATAGGACACCTAAAATGGCATAAAGCATCCCTCAACATGGCAGCCCTTCATACACGACACAATATACGCTCATGATATTAACATATATCTCATAAAAATAACGATAGCCTTGACGAACGTTTCTGTAGGATAAGCCAGCATGCATAGTGACTCCTGGTGGTACTGACAAGCCGTAGGATCTCACTGAAACTTCCTTATCGGGTTCATGGACCAGTACATGGAATCCCATGTCGTCAGACAATATGGACGAATCTGAAATACGAGTCTTAAGCAGCCTCTTCACCACAGTGACTGGACTGACAGGGACGAACTTGACCGCAAATCGCTGTGGCCGTGCAGTATAAACTGAAACCCGTAGCTGCTGCCACCCATATATTGCTTCCTCTTTGAAATCGAGTTTGGGAATCTGAAAACCTTTTCGTCGCTCATGTGAAGCAGCCTCAAACCCTCTCGAAGTAGACCACGTACTCGTCTACCTATAACGGCTAGCAAAGGGAATACGATGTCGAATGCAAAATGTGGCCAGCTTTACTGCGCCCAGAGCACAGCGCCGCGTTGTGGAAAATTTTGGCAGGAGAGACCTTTCAGACTTTCTCTTCTAATAGAACCCACTCTCACTATCTGTCTGCCATTTTACCAACTTTTCCAAAAATTGGACGTCTAGCAGGAAAAGGGCAACGTTATGCGGCGGAAATGGGGAAAATTGGCAGCAGCTAAAAATTTAACGATGCGAAACACGATTCCTAGCGAATAAGTAGGACCGTTCGTTGGCATTTCTACAGCAGGTGCTCTGGTTGTGTCAGTTTTGACATTACTGTAGCGAAACTTATGGTGAACCAAATGAACTGAACTGGTATACATACTGCGGCCCTCACTTTGCTAGCTCTGATCAGAAGTTCAATAGAGAAAAGCTTACCTAACGCAAAAGCCTAGATCGGTAATGACGACCTCGCTAGTGGCGCAACAATTTGGTATGTCCTCACCAGCGAACGAGCAACTTAGCACCAGGTCCTCGCATGTTGGCCTAAGTATACTTTGAACATCTTCAAGGGTGGCAGTGGAAGCATTATTTGAGGGCATCCTCACCTGATATCGTTGAAAAATTTTGCAAGGGAGAAGTTCTGCTCGGTCTGCAGCTCATAGTTGCTCTTAAACTCCTCAAAATCCCGATGTGCCTCGTTAAGCTCATCGTACTCGACGTGGTCATCAAAAGATGCCAAAAGATAAGACCGCACCTTTGTGCTCATGTTGTATCCTAAACTCTGTAATGGCAGCAGTAGGTGTAACGGTCTAGTGCTAATTAGAAGCAGTAGCAGAAGCACGTACCTGAAAATTGAGACATTTCAAGCGGGTTGTGATTACAGAGAGTGATGTCCGGCAAAGAAATACCGTCTGTTGCCACGATAGTCTTTATTTGAAATAGAGTTGGTTTCGAGTGATAACCAAGTAGGAGATAGCCACTCTTAAAGCAAAGGAATAAACTCAAACTGCAGCTGTGAATCTATTCACCTCGTGCATGTTGAGGACATCCCTTTGAGGTATGTAGTGTACAGCTTGTCTTAAAGGAGGTCGTACTAATTTGTCTCAAGTCGCGGTTTCTTTAGCAAACATATGGCGCACCCCGTACTTACATGAACCATACTCACAAATAGAAGTGAACGTATACAAGGAAACTCACATGAATCATGAAAAGTGACAGACAAGAGAGGACCACAACACACCAGAATATTCGCGAAGGCCAAGTGTTCGAGTTGTATATGCGAACGAGGCCATGATATGTGGTGAGCCCGGAAAATTCCTTAATAGACATATGTGTCTGTTTATAAGAAACAATCAAAGTTTGGTGTTATAAAATCTTCCCCTCTGTCTTTTGACCACTCGTCTTCTTTTTCAGTGTATTGTCAAACTTTGTAACTGTATAAAGTTAGTATGCGGCTAGGACAAAAAGCGTCTACCTGAAGAAGACGGCGCACCAAAGAAGTGGCTCCCTATTTCCATTTACAAGACCAGCGCCTCGCTCCAATAAGCAAATGCCAGCAAGAAGAAAATAGTAACAACCACAGTAACGTAATACACTTCACCGGAGTAACGACCATTCATTACCTTAGTTTCGTAGTCGTAGATGTGTAGATAGACACGCTCCCCTGCAACCATAGACACACCATCATCGTTGCCGCTCATAGTCCGTTTTCGCCTTCAGAACACACACCTGCTGAAAGCTGTGCCCTTCTAGCACAGCGTTACAACAAGCCCTTCCTCAGCACAGCACAGTGTCTCTCTTGAAAATGGCTAAATTTGTGCAATTAGAACAAAAATCACTATCTACGTTTAGCACCTATCAGTGTTTATTTGCCCCTTCAACGCCGACTATCAAATCATTTTGAAGCGATGATTACAGTGGGAGCACTGGAAGCTGGTGAGTGGAACACGGTACGTTACCACAGGCTAACCCACACCCCACCCCACCTGTGAATGCCCTCTGGTACGACCCTCTTTACAACCTACTTACCACCTTACCAGAACCTTATAAAATCTTACCAACACTTCCTGAAATTATGCCTCGAGTAGGGAAAGGCACTTCCCAAAATTCTGCCTCGAGCAGGGAAAGGATATATATGTAGTGCCCAAAATGCGGGAGAAGTCAGCATCCCAAAAAACCTGCTGAGATAATATTCAATCCCTCCCCTCACAGAGTATGATTGATGGAATGTCCGGTGCCCTGAAACGGGCATCGAACATCCATTAGAATCCCGTGTGTAAATAGCCGCTCTAACTTCACTGACTGCCTTGCGATCCTCCACACGGTCTTGGGGTTTTCGAATAAATGAATTTCTGACTGAAAAGCTATAACTTTTGCGGATTAATAGAGAGCAATTAACTCTCCGTAATTAGGAGAGCAGTAAGCTGTGGGCAGAAGTCATAGCTTCATTCATGGATAGACAGAGTTCAAGTACTGAAATTGGGAGAACTTAATCTTGCCACCTATACCCAGCCGCAAGCCCGTAGCACGTGCTCCCCCTCCCTTCCGCCATCGCTTTTTGGAATTTTGAAACAGTATGATTGAAAACCAAAAACTCCTCGAATCGTAGTTTTGTAGGAGTTTGGCGATTATCGATAGTCTAGGAGGTGAAACTGAAGCAGTAAAATCGGAAGTGACTTCAGCTCTCACCTAACACAAAGAGAAATGTAGAAACCTGATGCTGTCATATTGACCTGAACTCAAAAGTGCAGACTAACCAGGAACGGTGCAGATAAAGTTGACTGAAATTCAGGAACACGTACGAAGTTGACTCGTTGGACCACGAGCACTTCTGAAGAACAAACGACGCAGACGGAACTGCGTCTAGTGCAGCGCTTATCGCTTTGTTTAATGATCAGTGCTGCCCTGGACAACGAATGATAAAACTCCCGCCATTCAACTTTCAAGAAGTATGCAAAATGTAATGGGAAAAAATAAAAAGTGCAGTTCAAAGGCAAGTGCGAAACGGAAGCATAAGTTCATCCTTGTTTTTGACTTCTCCTCTCAATATTTCTCGTTTGTTCGATTTTTCATTTTATGACACTCTACACGCGGACAGTCCTTCCCACGAATGAGATTGCTACTGCAGGAGCTAGCCACTTTCTTCGTGTGCCGTGTCATCACCGCGATCGACACACTGTGTGGTGATGGCTGTGCCGTGTCATCACCGCGATCTGTGAAGGCACGGCGTATTGGTGCGTGTGCCATCTCACCAACCAACAATGGAGAATAATGTAAAGCTGAGTGCTGCGAGAGCTTTCTTGTCCATCATGGGCCTCTCGCCTACAGGGCTGAAGTAACGTTTGCTTCGACGCTCTTCGATTCTGGTCGATCTCAACGACACTGGAACGATACTTCTATTATAAATCCGATCATCACCGCGTCCGGGAAGGTGACCTGAGCTGTATGGAGTCCGAACCAACTCTCTGTAATCTCCCAACACATATGAACTTCAGTTGTGAGTCACAATACCA